GGTCCCGGTTTTCGGTCCCATAACCGGTCCTTACCGGTCCCGGTCCCGGGCCGGTCCTTTGTCGGTCCCGGTCCCGGTCCTCCGGCGGTCCCGGGCCGGGCCGGGCCCATTTGGCCATCTCTAACCGGAAGGATAAAATGCAAACCAAGCTATTTGTAAAAAAAATCGTGAAATTTTGTCTTAAAATTGTTTAATATGATATAATTGTTGCAAATAATTCATTTTATGATGAAAATGTTTCATATATTTTTGTTTCTATGTTAAAATTACATTGTTTCATGTATTTATCGATGAAATTTGTTTACTAAAATTAATAAAATGAAGATGATAATGTCTATAATTATTTGAAATGAATTATTTGAAACAATTTCATAATATTAAAAGTTATGAATTTTTTAAACGCGACACCCATTTTTGGCCAATACACTAAGGGTATACTAGTGGGTTTTTCTCGTACCAACCATGCCAGATTATCATGAAATTTTTTGTGGGCCATCTTCAAGGCTATACCCTTGGGTTTTTCCTCGTCCGAACCAATCGTGCATGATTGCAATGTTAACGAGAAGTTTTTCACGAGAAAGAACTTGAAAAAAACCGTTCTAATGCTGGAATTTGTCGGAGTCACGCATTGACCAAATTGAACGAACGTGCATCATACAAGTCATTGAAAACCACTCAACCCTTGGTGTATTACCACAAAATTTTCTACCCCTGTAGTTCTCTTCCTTCCAAGCTTCGATTTGACTGGTCATGGTCTTAAAGCAGAGTCCCCATAGCAAAAGTGATGCACGTTTAAGCGCAACAACCATTTTTGGCTGATACACCAAGGGTACATCCTTGAGTTTTTCTCAGTCGGGACCGAATGTGCCGGATTGCATGAAAATTTTCATGGTTCATATACGATTATAGTAAGAAATTTTGCACCAGAGAGAACTTGAAAAATATCGTTCTCGTGTCGGAAATTGCTGGAGCCACACATTGGCCAAATCGAACAAACGCGCGTCGTGCATTTCATCGAAACTCGCTCGAATCAGGTTGTAATACCACAAAAGTTCCTAATTGTGGCTTGCTCCTCGTTTCAAGTTTCGATTTGAATGGTCATGGGCCTAGAATGGTGTCTCGTAGCAAAAGTTATGCACATTTAAGCGTAACAATCATTTTTGGTTAATACATCGAGGGTATACTCTTGGGCTTTTCTCGTCCGAACCAACCGTGCTGGACTACCATGAAATTTTTTTTGGGCGATATACAATTATAGCGAGAAGTATTTCACCGAAAAGAACTTAAAAAAACCATTCTCATGCAGGAAATTGCCAGAGCCATTCTTTGGCCAAATCGAATCAACACGCATCATGCAGCTCATCAAAACCCACTCAAATCATGGTGTGTTACCACAAAAATTCCTACTTACGGCATGCTCCTCGTTCCAAACTTCGATTTGACTGGTCATGGGCAGAAAACGAAGTCTAGTAGCAAAAGTTATGTACGTTTAAATGCGAAACCCATTTTTGACCGATACGCCAAGGATATGCCCTAGGGTATTTCTTGTCGGGACCAATCATTCTGATTTCCATGAAATTTTTCATGGGTTATCTGCAATTATAATAATAGGGGTTTTCTCGTCCGAACCGACCGTGTTAGATTGCCATCAAAATTACCGTAGGCCATTTGCAATATTAATGAGAAGTTTTTCACCATAAAGAACTTTTAAAAAAAATTGTTCTCGTGTCGAAAATTGCCAAGCCAAGCGTTGGCCAAATCAAACAAACATGTGTCATGTAGTTTGTCGAAATCCACTCAAGTCATGTTGTATTACGACAAAAGTTTTTACCTATGGCGTGCTCCTTGTTACAAGCTTCGATTTGACTGGTCATGGGCCTAAAACGCAGTCCCATAGCACAAGTTATGCACGTATAAGCGCGACACTCATTTTTTGCTGATACAACAAGGGTACGCCCTTGGATTTTTCTCGTCTGGACCGAGTATACTGGATTTCCATGAAAAATTATGTGGGTCTTAGAAGTTTTTTGCCAGAAAGAACTTTAAAAAACCCATTCTCGTGATCGAAATTGCCAGAGTCACGCATTAGCCAAATCGAATGAATGCACATCATGTGGTTCGTTGAAATCCACTCAAATCATGTTGTATTACCACAAAATTCATACCCATAGTTCTATGCCCATTCCAAGTTTCGATTTGACTGGTCATGGTCCTAAAACGGAGTCACATAGCAAAAGTTATGCACGTTTAAGCGCGACACCCATTTTTCCCCGATACACCAAGGGTATACCCTTTGCTTTTTAATATCCGGGACGACCGTGCAAAAATGCCATGAAAATTTTTGTTGGTCATCTGCAATTTTAATGAGAAGTTTTGCACCACAAAGAACTTGAAAATAAAAAATCGTCCTCATGCCGGAAATTGTCGGAGCCACACATTGGCCAAATCAACGAACGCATGTCATGCATTTCTTCGGAACCAACTCAAATCATGTTGTATTACCATAAAACTTCCTGCCTATGGTGTGCTCCTTGTTCCAAGCTTCAATTTTACTGGTTATGAGACTAAAACAGAGTCTCGTAGCAAAAGTCATGCACGTTTAAACGTAACACCCATTTTTGCCCATATACCAAGGGGATGCCCTTGGGTTTTTCTTGCTCGGAACGACTATGCTGGATTGTCCTGAAATTCCCGTCACCATGTTCAATTATCTTGAGAAATTTTGCACCAGAAAGAACTTGAAAGAAAACCGTTCTCATGCTGGAAATTATCGGAGCCAGGCATTGACCAAATCGAACTAACACGCATAGTGCAGTTCTTCGAAACTCACTCAAATAATGTTGTATTGCCACAAAAATTCCTACCCATGGCGTGCTCCTCGTTCCATGCTTCGATTTGACTAATCATGGGCCTAAAATGGAGTCTTGTAGCAAAAGTTATGCACGTTTAAGCACGACACCTAATTTTTGGCCAATACACCAAGGGTATACCCTTGGGTTTTTCTCGTTCTGACCGACTATGTTGGATTAACATGAAAATTTATGTGGATCAGCTACAATGTTAATGAGAAGTTTAACACGAGAAAGAACTTGAAAAAAAATAGTTCTCGTGCCCAAGATTACCGGAGCCAAACATTGGCCAAATCGAACGAACATGCGTCGACAGTTTATGTATTCATATTTTTTAATACAAGTGTAAAAAAGTGATCTCACGGGTCTCATGAAAACAAGCAAGTTAAATAAGAAAATAATAATTTTTGTAATTTTAATTTAAAATATTAATTAAGGGCATTTTAGGGATTTTATATTCCTCTCTCCAGCGAATCTTTTTCTCTCTCCAACGAATCTTATTCGACGAACCTTATTCCGATGAACCTTATGTGAACACAAGATATACACTATGATATCTACAAACGATACCAAGATATACATACAAGATGCATTTGTAAAGTAATGAAAATAACGAAAAAAATACACTATGATACATTTCATAAAACAAAAAAAATACATTGTGATACACGTGAAACATTGTGAATGTTATCACTATGATACACTTTGATTTACAAATGTCTTTAAAAATACGATGTATATTAGATGATTGATATACTAAGTAAGTAGGTAATTAATTTTAATTAAATATTTTCTTCTAAAAATTTTAATTAAACATTTTGATTAGTTGTCAAATGAGTGATTAACATTAGATCTCACGGTTATCACAAATTAAACAGATCTCCTTTAAATGAACCATATTTATAATATATATATATATATATATATATATATGAGTGATCAAATAAAAACCGCCCTCATTTGTGTAAAACGTGCAAACCACCTTCATCCGTCGATTTCATTGTTTAATCTTATGAAATTTTTTCATGAAATTGTTTAATCTTGTAAAATTGTTTCATATAATACTTTTTTTGACCAAGTTGTTTCATATATGGTTGTGAAATTGTTTCATATAATACTTAATGAAACTGTTTCATGTATTTCTCTAAAATTAATGAAACTGTTTCATGTATTTCTCTAAAATTAATGAAACTGTTTCATGTATTTCTCTAAAAATTAAAATAATGAAGATGATAATATTTATGATTAACACCCTCCACAATAAAAATGATTAATCAACCTCTCATANCTACAATAAAAATGATTAATCAATCTCTCATAATTACAAAAAAATGAACAAAATGAAAAATTATGATTGGTTGAATGAGGTTTGCACAGTTTGTACAAATTGAGTGGTTTGCATTTGATCGTTCCCCTATATATATATATATATATATATATATATATGTATGTATGTATGTATGTATGTATGTATGTATGTGTGTGTGTTTGTGTTTTAGTTAGGTTTTAAAACTTTATGTTTTTTTCCCCTATGTTAATTTCTAAAGAATTTTTATTAATTATAATAAAAATGAATGGATTTAATTAATTTAATTTAATGTTTTTATTTATTTATTTTAATGTTAATTAATTTAATTTAATAGTATTTTTGGGAAAAATAAAAGGATTGGAAATGAGGACACAAACGTTGCAGTCGTAGAAAACATGTCTCAAAAGCCAAAGCCTGCGACCAGAACAATTGCACGCTGCAGTTGTGGGGCCTCTTTCTGCTTTCTAATTTTTACGTTTTTTAGCCCCTGTGGTTTTTGAAAATACACTTTTAGTCCCTATAGTTTGTTGTTTTCGTTTCCTAAAGTTAACTTCCTCAATGGTTTACTTTTAGATATCAGATGTGAAAATAACAATGATTTGTAAAGCACGACAACATAAAAAAATTGAAAATTATAAAAACAAAAGAACTGGAAATAGATATGAAAATAGGACGGGAACCCTAATCTCATATCCGTCCTCGTTCCCATCCCTGCCGGATAATATGATCACATCCATATTTCCGTCCCCAACATGGAACGAGGATCCCCAATGGTGGAAACGAAGATTTTTTACAAACCAAAAAACAAACAGAATCTTTTATATCAACAAAAAGAAACACATTAATAAGAGATATTCGAAGAATTAAACCAAAAAAGTCCTTTCTAATTTTGAAACGACCTGGTTTGAGCAAAATCGAAATCCCCGTCTCCAAGACCCGATTTAGCAGAGAATCTTCGTCTTCGGCCGTGGCTGGTGAACAGGTTCCCCAACGAGTCGAGACCCATTCTCATGCCTAACTAAAAAGATAAAAACTGTAATTTTGAAAAAACTAAAACAAAAAATGTAATTTTAATAAACTATAGGGACTAAAAACATAGTTTACTCTTTAATTTAATATGCTTGGACCTCAAGTTTCCCCCTTCTCCTATACACATCACCTATTTTTTTATACATTTTAGACATCTTCAATTTTAAAAAATATAAAATCAAAAAATAAAATATTTAAAGTAATTATATTTAATTTAATTTTGAAAATTATAATATTCTAAAAGTAATAAAAAAAATCATTTTCAGCAAGTAATACGATATTCTTTTAGGGGGTTGGGTTTATGCGAGACAAGACTGTTTTCATGAGACAACATTTTTTTTGAAAGGCAAAAAAAGGAAGGACAAGGAGGAGAGTTACGGCATGGCCATCGCCCTCACCAAGATAACATTTTTACACTTGAAACTTCACAACAAAATATTGTAAAGGTAAAAAAGTCGAACATTCACAATAGAAACACGTGAAAGTTACTTTACAGTGTTTTGCTATGAAGTTTCAAATGTAAAAATATTGTCTTACGAAAACAGTATTGTCTCACATAATCTCAAGTATTCTTTTAGAGTTTCTTAGATACAGTAATTATTATGATAAATTAGTATTAAATATTATAGTTATAAAAAATAATCTCATTTGACAATGACTTTGATTTTAATTTAATTCAATATAAAATGATGTATGTAATTTAGTTATTTTTTAAATCAATAGTCGTCCAAAACGTGTTTCGCGCGTATGTTTTGAGTATCGATAAGATTTAGGGATAAATTACTAAACACTTATCTTGATAAGCGCGTATCAGTTAGATTATCTTACTAGGTGGACATAAAAAAGACCGAGAATCTTATCCAGTAAGATGAAAGACAATGATTGAGAGTCTTACTCGGTAAGTGAGAGTGATGACTCTTACCTGGTAGACGTTTACCGGGTTTATAAACACTTACCATCAGTCCATTTTGATGGTTGATGATGTTACCCTGTAAGGTAAATGAAAGTGTTGATTCTCATTGGTAAACGTTTACCCAATAAACATTTGGTAAATAATCCCTTAGTGTTAAAACTACCAAAAGTCTAAAATATTACACATAGACACACATACAGACACAGAGACACATGCACGCATACATGGAGATACACACACATGCATTATATATATATATATATATATATATATATGCTTAATCAGATAAAAATAACAAAAAATGTTAAAAACCATGAAAAACAACTTTCAATAAAAATGAAAATACAGTGGTATTTCACAATACAATTATTTTTAAGATATGTGTTTATTTTTCTTGTTTCATATTGTGAAATAACATTGTAGTGTTTATACATTCAAATACATTTGTAAAACAATACATAATCAGTGGTTTTTACATATCTCAATCTTTTCACTGTTCTCATTTCATTACTCACGTGTGAGTGTATATAATAATAAAAAATCAATTTAAAAAGTAGGTAAATATCTCCAACTACTTGTTATTTAAAAATATGGTTAGGTTTGGATTTATCTAGTGAACAAATATATATATATATATATATATATATATATATAGGGTTGGGTTCACGTGAGACCAAATGTTTTTCGTGAGACCCGTAAGACCAATTTATATTCATTGATCAAATTTATGAATTAATGATTTAATGGTTGCAAAATTGCAAGGTGGCAATTTCGTAATTAGTGAGAAGTCTCGTGGCGTTTATAAATGTTCAGATCTGACGATTGTAAATCTAATCCAAGGGTTGAGAATTGGTCTTACGGGTCTCACGAAAAACCATTGGTCTCACATGATCCCAAGTCTATCTATATATATATATATATGGGTTCATTTAGGGGTGAACTACCTAGTTTGTGGTAACTATGGGATCTAATCTCAACCATAAATCAATAGATAAATTAAGAAATTTATAATTTTGAATTAAAATTTTAATGAAATGACATTTTAGGTATTTTCTCTCTTCACTCCGTCCCCCATCCTCCGGCGATACCACTGTGATACCTAAAAATATTGACTATGTTAAAAAAAGACACAGTGTGATACCCAAACACACATATAAGATGCACTGTGTCACATCTCCGATCGACCACACAAACGACCTCAGTATGATACCCAAGCACATATAAGATGCATTGTGATACCACTGTGGTATCACCAGAGAACGGGGGACGGAGAGAGAAAAGAGAAGAGAGGAGAGTTTTTAAATACCTAAAATGTCCTTGCATTAAAATTTTAATTTAAAGTTACCAAAATTGTAAATTTCATAATTTATCTATTGATTTGTGGTTGAGATTGGAACTCACGGTTATCACAAACTAATTAGTTCTCATTTGATTAGGCGCATATATATATATATATATATAGACTTGGGATCATGTGAGACCAATGGTTTTTCGTGAGACCCGTAAGACCAATTCTCAACCTTTGAATTATATTTACAATCGTCAGATCTGAACATTCATAAACGCCACGAGACTTCTCAATAATTACAAAATTGTCACCTTGCAATTTTAGACCATTAGATCATTAGCTTATAAAGTTGATCAATGAACATGAATTGGTCTTACGGGTCTCACGAAAAACCTTTGGTTTCACGTGAACTCAACCCTATTTTTATATATATAAACATATGTTTATATTTGCCTCCTTGGAATTCCTTGGTCCGCAAGGAAGTTGATAAATACTCCATAATAATTTACTTCCCATTTTTCTAAACATAGTTTTAAAATTCAAACAACAATTTACTAATTTTTATTAATATTTTCTTTTTTATAATTCATAATAATAATAATAATTTTTCACAAGATTTCGAAGATAAGAAAAAATAATAACAATCTCTAAATTCTTTCTCTTGATTTTTATTAGAACTTAAATTGAATCTTACGGATTTCACGAGTTATAGAGTTCTCAAATAGTTAAATCACTATATATATATATATACACACACACACACACATATACATATATACATACATGCATGTTATATATGGTTGGGTTCAGGTGAGATAAGACTGTTTTCATGAGACACGATTTTTACACTTGAAACTTTACAACAAAATGTTGTGAAGGTAAAAAACCGAACCTTCACAGCAAAAACACTGTGAAGATTACCTTCACAGTGTTTTGCTGTGAAGTTTCAAGTGTAAAAAACGTGTCTCATTAAAACAGTCTTGTCTTGTACGATCCCAAGTTTATATATATACACATACAAGAGATCTAATCAAATGAAAAGTAGATAATTTATGGTAACTGTAAGGTCCAATATAAGTCGATTATTTTAGATAATTAATGTTATTTATTAAAATAAAACAAAGGGTAAATTAGTAAATTGTGTTGATTATTCAATCTATTTTAATTATTTTAATATTTCAATTTACTTTAATTATTTTAATATATGTATATATATATATATACACACACACACACGGATACACAGGGGCCAAACATGGTAGCCTTCTCTGGCACCCACCACCACTTCATTGACCTCATCTGGTCATCTTGTCTGACCAAGACGTCGTATTCGATGATTGACCACTAAACACCCACATGCGACAGTGGTACCACAGTTGGTATCATAGTGGTCTCAAAGTTTACTTGGTGAACCATAAGGGTGGTGTTTGATTGGTTTGAGCTTGGCTCCAAAGGTCAAAAATACCAGGAGGTCCCAGGTTCAAATCCAGGGAGGAATAAAAATCCCTTTGTGGCCACGGAGGTTCAAATGCGGTGACTCCGGGCTATCTGCAAAGCATGTGGTTGCCCTGGGATTAGTCGGCTCGCATAGCGGGCTGGATATCCAGGTTAATCAAAAAAAAATTACTTTGTGTGTTTTGGGTATCACATTGTATATCTTGTGTAGTTTGGGTATCACAAGGTGTTCATCGGAAGTCGGAGGTAGGAGAGAGAGAGAGAAGATATAAAAAAATTAAAATATCTAAAATATCCTTTAATTATAATTGTAAGTCAAATTACAAAAAATATTAGTTTTCTAATTTATCATTGATTTATGGTTGAGATCGTATATCACAGTTATCACAAACTAACCACTTCTCTTTTGATTGAACTTATATATATATATATATATATATATATATATATATATATATGCGTCTAATTAATGAAAAATTATTAAAAAGATTAGAAAAAACATAATATCTGGTCATTTATATATGTGTATTCATATACAATTATGATCACTTATTCTAACAGATATTTATTCTTATTTAAATATATAACATAATTAATTTATAATCAAACTATAAACACAATGTCTATAAAAATCAGTTACTAACAAGGGGTGAATTTGGAATTCTCACATACATCATGGATTCATATATCACATTTCTCATCATTATTAAATATTTTGTTACCTTATTTATAAAATATGACTAAAATACCCTTCAATCTTCCAATTCAAATCTTAAATAAATAACTCTTCCCATTTTATAAAAAATATAATATTTCATTTAATAATAATTTAACATTAAAATTATGAATTTTTTTTTTAATAATAAATTAGAGTACACATTTTAACTATTCTGTATGGTTATGAAGTTAACAATTAAATTGAAGGGATTTAAGCTGACGAATTTTACAGGACCAACCCAGTTATAATACAGTGTCTTAACAAAAATGAATAAAAATAAAACCCTTTATGAGGTCATGAAGTTAACAGTCAAATAAACCCTCTAATGATCCTGAAAAGATTTAAACTAACGATATTTTACAAAACAAACCAGTTATAATATATTGGTCTTAACATAAATTAATAAAAATAAAACCATTTATGAAATCATGAAATTAACAGTCAAACAATCCCGAAGAGATTTAAAGTAATGATATTTTACAAAATAAACCATCTATAATATATCTATTTTAATAGTTCTAATAAGAAGCAGTCTCTGAATCGTTAAGATGTGAATTTTGTTTGACAACAAAAAAATTTGTCTCTTAATAGTTTTAAAACTTTTTGAATGATTTTGTATATTGGGAATCTCTTAACCATTTAGCGCCTAATACTATTGTAAATAATTACTGAACAATTATATTTCATTTTGCATTATATCATAAGAGCTTTTTAATCATTCTGACTATTTAATCATTCTGACTATTTAATCATTATGTATCAAATCATTCAGCAACTTGTTAGCAAAAAAAAATAAGTAAAGATGAAAATATATTATATTTTATATAAAAAATTGTGTTTAAAAAAAATAAAAAAAATATTAAATTATATAAATGAAAAATTGTATCCATAAAAAGTAATCCACTAAATCAAAGGATCTTCCTGGTTCGCCATTTTTTATACTCATTCAAACCCATTGAATCCCTCTCCCTCTGTTTTAGCTCCGACGTTTCGAAATCCATAATCCCCAAATTCATGTCAAAATCGATCCACAATTTATGGGTTCTTCTCCCAAATTCCGACTAATTAATCGTACCTTCACCACAAACCTTCAATCGTTAATGGATTCCCCCAAAGTTGTAACCATTTCCATGACGGATTACGACGCTACAGATTCTTCAAGTGATGAAGAAAACCCCCAATTTCGTCGCCGGAAAGTTAAAAGGTATATGACTGTCATTAAACTTCAACAGAATTTTTCTGGGAAGATTTCGAGTGAAAATGGTGGTAGCAAAAAACAGTCTCGTCGGAAAAAGGAACCGGCGGCGGTGGGGGCGAGTTCAGGGAGTGAAAGGAAGTTTAGAGGTGTACGCCAACGGCCGTGGGGGAGGTGGTCGGCGGAGATTCGTGATCCGGCACGGCGGACGAGGGTTTGGTTGGGTACTTTTGATACGGCGGAGCAAGCGGCGTTGGTTTATGATCGGCGAGCAATTGAACTACGTGGATCACAAGCACTCACAAATTTTCTACAACCACCACCACCACCACCACCGGTGATTGCTCCGGTTTCGGTTTCCGGTCAATATTCCCGCAAGGAGTCGCCGGATATTTGCTCGCCGACTTCGGTTTTACGGTTTTGTAAAACGGAGGACGTTTCAGAGAACCCCACGAAACCGAACGAACACGAACCATTTACCAAAAACCCGTTTTCAGATGATTATTTCCGTTATGATTCAAATTCCGAATACGATTTCTTTGATTTCCGGATACCGTCTCCGATGATTCTCGAAGAAATAAATTTTCCCGACAAAATCGATACAGAATCGAGCAAAATTTTATCGGGATTGGATGATGATTTGGAATCGTGGGTATCAGATGTCGACAGTTTCTTCCAAGATCCTCTTGCTGCGAAATGATTAATTATCAGTATATTTTTCGTACATTGTTATTTTAAGAAAATATACATAAATAATTATTAGATTATAATAACTGTTCAAATTATTGAACAGTTATAATCTTCTAATGAATCATTTACGTAACTTCCACTAACAATGTATGAGAAATAATATATGATGTAACCATAATTTTTCAGGGCTTCAAACGGGATTTTTTGCATATATTTCTAGTTTTATTCTTAGTTTATAATTTTTCATAATAAGATGTTCGATTATTTATTAAAAGATCAACACAATTGTCGATATATATTTGTTTTATTATGTTAACGGCGTCTGTTTGTGATCAAAATTGCATAAAGTTATATTATCAGTCAATATTTGTACTGTATTTTATACAGTATAATTATATTATACGTGATTTAAATAATTGTTCATGATAATTACGTGGTGTATGTTATTGAGTTTGACTTTACATTGACTTCGACAGTTTATTCGGTTGAATTTATAAAAACGGTTGAAAAGTAAACTGTTATAAAAGTTATTAAATTTTCGAATGCGAAGTGCAACGATATGATATTTTTTTCTTTATAAAAAGTAAATTGTTATAAAAGTTACTAAATTTTCGAAAACTATTATGAAAAAGTAAGGAGTTGTTTTGCTGGGTTTTTTTTTAAGTTCTGTATGGATAAAGTTACATTTAGGGGTGTGCGGAACCCGAATTGTCCGAAATCCGAACTCAAACCCGAACAGAAAATAAGGTATTTATGTAAAACCCGAATGTCCCGAAATCCGAAAAATCCGAAAACCGATTTTTGGGGGAAAATTTGGGTTCGGATGAGTTTGATTTTTGGCCACCTGATCCGTCTGAAAACCCGAAATATATATATATATATATATATATATAGGGAAGCGATCAAATGCAAACCACTCAATTTGTACAAACCGTGCAAACCGCATTCAACCAATCATAATTTTTCATTTTGTTCATTTTTTTGTAATTATGAGAGGTTGATTAATCATTTTTATTGTGGAGGGTGTTAATCATAGATATTATCATCTTCATTATTTTAATTTTAGAGAAATACATGAAACAGTTTCATTAATGTTAGAGAAATACATGAAACAGTTTCATTAAGTATTATATGAAACAATTTCACGACCATATATGAAACAACTTCATCAAAAAAAGTATTATATGAAACAATTTCACAAGATTAAACAATTTCATGAAAAAATTTCATAAGATTAAACAATGAAATCGACAGATGAAGGTGGTTTGCACGGTTTACACAAATGAGGACGGTTTTCATATGATCACTTCTCTCTCTATATATATAACCCATGACATTTGTGCAACCAATACAACTCAATCTCAACCGTCCATTTCATTTGATCAATATGTGATTTCATAGAAGTTTTGATTGTTTCCTAATATAAAGTATTGATCATAATTAATGAATCATATTCATCTTCTATAAATATTCAAATCATAATAAATGAACTCTCATCATTTCCATAAATATCTCAATTTATTGGGTTGCATTGGTTGTACAAATGCAACATGTTGTATTTGAAACAATCTCTCTCTCTCTCTCTCTCTATATATATATATATATATATATATTTATTTATTTATTTCAAACATTATATAAATATACTTATTTATCTAATTATCTTTTGAAAATTCTGAAAATCTTAGTCGGTCATGCTTTTTTCTAATTTTTAAGCATACTATCGATTTATCAATCCTCTAAATCGATTGATTTCATCGTCAAAATCAATTGGATATACAGCTTTTGCATTATAACTGAACTTGAACCCGACCGACCTAAAAAAGACAGTTTAAAAAAATCGCTAGTAATCCTGAAGACACTCGAGCTTGGCATGTGGCATGGCCTCCGATTTGATCCCACATGATAAGATTTGTGATTTTATTGGTAAGATTCATACATACAAATATATTTTGATGTTTTATGTGTCATGTCGCTGTCCAATTATTCAGTTGATTTTTGTATGTATAAAATAACTTATTTGACTTAAATTTAGATTATACTTAAAAATATTGGTTATAATGCAAACCAGATTTTTCAAAGGTTTACAGAGATCAGGTTGGACCTTTTTCAAGACGATTCTTTTCCGATTCAAGTATAATCAGATTTAAATTCAAATTGTTAGTCTTTCTGTAACTCGGTTTAAGTTTCGTCCAACTTTTAAAAATTGGCTCATAAATTTTGATGGTTTTAATTTAAATTCCACAATTTTATGTCCATTAGTAAACTAGTGAATTGAATTTTTTTTTTCTACTGATTAATCTGGATATCCAACCCGCTATACGAGCCGACTAATCCCAGAGTGACCACCTGCTTTGCGGGTAGCCGGGAGTCGGCGCATTTGGACTTCCGTGGGTACAAGGAGATTTTTTTCCTCCTTGAATTCGAACCTGAGACCCCCAAACACTTTTAATCTTTGGAGCCCAAGTTCAAGCAAATCAGACACCACCCTTGTGGTTTCTGAATTGATCTTTTAAATCAATATATTTGATTTTTTTTTACTGTAAATTAATTATTTGTTTTGTTAGAATTGTTATACCATCTAAAGTAGATGACATGTCTACATACATCTTACCCTCCAACACTACTTTCAGATAAGATACATTAAGTCAGTTTGGTTAATAGAAACTTAACAGCCATACTTGGCGCACATCATAAAAATCGACCATGTTTGTAACGTCTGCTGCTATTTTTCTTGCAGAGTGATACCTCCATATAATAATGGATAAAATGTCTGAAGTTCTTGCATTTCGTTCTTATCCATCAATCAGATAAACATATATCATCATAGACATATCTGAACTTAAATTAAATTAATTTAAATTATATAAAAATCTGATGTGCTTTAATTTTATCAGTAGAACATCGATAACAGATAAACTTTTGAGATAAACATATTTTTATATTATAATAATTCAAAAAGTAGTATTATAAAATAAAATAAAAAGTAGAAATATGAATATTTTGATTGGAAGAGATCTCCAATAATTGGCCCACAAAATCTAAAGATGGGGTAGACCCTTTGATGAGCCATGATTCATAACCCCTTTTATGTCATGCTAAAGGGTGGTCTAACCCTAGTCCTAGTCCTAGTCTTAGTCCTAGTCCACCTATGCTAACTTTCAATTTACCCCCACCATCTTTAGAGAAATTACTTTTATACCCCCTCCAAGAAATCTAAACCAGAATAACGATATTTCGATTCCAAGATTTTGAACTTTTACTGCATTTGTGTTTCACAGATACGCAGTCGTTGGCATGTTCTTAAAGCAAGAACAAGGTAGAAAGAGTGCAACATGTTTTGGTGTAAATGATCATATTTTAGGTATGGTTTTGATACTAAAACTGTGTTTTATGGTTGGGTTACAGCTCAACATGTTATAAGAGTGATTATCATGGTTTTTATGATCAACGTGAGGAATTAAACGCCATGGAAGTAAGTAATGAAGCAACAAGAATGCTGTTGAGACGAATCAAACGGTAAAAGTGTGGTCAAATCATGAAGTCGTCAGTTATATCGATGTCTTAAGCATGCTGGTGAGTAGATATTTGTTGGTTATGCTGTTTAGCAAGAATTATGACATATTCTAGGCAATGTACGCAAGTTTGCACACGGTGATCGCACATATAGCGACATGCTGAGATCAAAGTTTTTGTGTGAACTTGCACAAGCCTAAGCGAGCTTAGGAGCGCATACAAAGTTGCATTAAGTCAACTAGGCAAGGTTGGTCAAGCGAGCTTGGCTAAAGCGACATTAAGTGGATGTGACTCTTGATTAACTTTCAGGTCATGTAAACCCTACGTAGGTGCAAGGTAGCACATATAAGTTTCGCTAAGTAGTATAAGTTGGTGTTTGTGTTCATTAGACTATTTAAATGTTCAATACGTATGTCAGATGCATCTAGGTACACGTTTTCGTCAATTCAGGTTGCATTATGTAAATTAGTGCGACTTACAAGATGAGATCCATGTCTGGGTGAAAAGTTAATTAACCCCCTCCAATCGGCCCCATCGAAACCTGCCTCCAAGGGCACCAATGTGAGGGGGTATTTTTTGATTCACTTAACGGCTGTGGTTAGCGGGGGACCCGTGATAGAACCTTGGACATATCTTGTATTTGGACAAATTCACCCAACCCCTTTGCCAACTGAGCTACAAGCCGAAAGCATACATGTCTTTATATGTTTTTATACAATTACATGTTACATATATTTCTGTAATGTTTTAACTGTTTAGCATGCCAAAAGTATTTTGATATGAAAAGTATGCTATGCAAGAAAAAATTTTATTTTTAGTATGTATAGGGAACACAAGTTGAGACTAGGGGTGCTCAAAAACCCGATCAACCCAACCCAACGTGAAATAACTCAACCCGAAGTATCTTGATATCTAATCGAGTTGTAAAATTTTCAAACCTTAGATATTGAGTTGATATTAGGTTACTATTATTTGAACTCAATCTAACCCGATGAATCCAATATCTTTTTATTTCTTGGATTTAATATGATTGTTGAATTTTTATTAATATATATATCAGACAATTTGACTATAATGTATGCTCTTCATATACACATATTTTCAATCTATTCACATCTCTATATAACTCATTCGTATATATGTTCAGTAACTATGAACATATAAGTGAATTGAGAAAACTAACTAAATGTGATATACGTAACAAATATGGATAAGTTGTATCAAATGAATGATGATGAAAAAAAATTATGAGTAGAGAAATAAGATATTCAAGGTTAGAAGAATATCTTAATATACCAAAGTATCAACCCGACCAACTCGTACGGTTTGGGTTGGATTGGGTTGCACTTTGGTTCAGGTTAGGTTGAGTTAAAAAATTTCAAATTACAAATATTAGGTTGAATTGTTCAAATATTTTCAACCTGATCAATCCAACACATGAATACCCCTAGTTAAGACGTTGATTTGGATAAAAAGAGAATGCCAATCCAAGTATAATTAGGATTAGCACACATCATAAGGGTTTGTATCATATTATATATATATATATATATGTATATATATATATATATATGTATATATATATATATATATGTATGTGTGTGTGCGTGCGTGCGCACATGCATGAAAATATGTTTCAGTGATGTTTCAACAAATGCATAATTGATTTACTAGAAGCGTACTTGCGCAATGCAGCGAGATACATCGTGATTTTAATATTTTATTTTATTCTTTATCTCAGTCGATGTTATAATATGGCTTTATGTGATCTTGAGAAATCAATGATGTTTTTATTTTTGAATAAAATATATGTTTGAAGATATCATAAAAATTTGACAAAAATATATCGATATTAGTATCAAATTAACTATTTGAAA